TGCTTCTTTGCTCCAAGCCATTCTCCAATGTCACGGGCGTTTGCTAGCGGAACGCTAAGTCCGACTATGCGCAGTTCTTGTTCGGTTTGAAGAGAGATATAGTGCATTCGTGACACAATGACTTCGTATACATAACCTCCTTGTCCTCCAAGAATGTTGAGATCATCCGCAATGAAGAGCTCGACAGCTTGGACATTCTTGCGTCTCTGCCACTGCCGAGAAATAACATCCCACTGTATAGGCGTCGCAAGGACGAGATCTGCCCGATCAAGGATCTTGAGGTCGGCGGTAGTCTCTCCCGTAAGCTTCTGAATTGACTTACCACCGGCAACACTTGCCAGGCGAGCGGTCCAATCAGCAAGTTTTTGATCCACGAGTTCCTGGAATGGAGCGATATATACTGCTTTCTGCGAATCTTCCTTGGACCAATGCCTGAGAATGGCGAATTCAGCGCATACGGTCTTTCCGCTTCCAACAGGGGCGCCCACGAATACATTGTCGTCTGAATCAAACAGCGCTTTGAATACTTGGGTTTGCACTTTATTGAATTTCTCCCAGTTGGGATATAGTCCCTGGTAATCTGCCCGTCTCAAAGCTTTGACAGGAACAGGCTGCATATCCAAGAGCGGAGTATGCGGAGGGAATTTCTCAGGAAGAATCAACTTCTGGAACGCAACGGCAACTTTGGTTTCTGAATGTGTCCAGCGATCAGAAAGTAGGGTAATGAAATAATTGGGTGGCATGGGCTCGGTGATTGGAACGGTGAATTCAACGAGATGTTCGTTCATTTCCGAGATTGCATACTCTTTCCTAAGTATAAACTGATCATAGAAGAGAATGTCTTCTCCATCACAATCCTCGACGATAATCCAAAATGATTCTGCATTTCCGTGCAGCGAATCATCCCAGGTGAAATTAGGTGTAATAGTCAACTCAACACGGAGCATCGAGCGAGTCATTGGCTGTACCTGTGCCTGCAGCTCAAGACGGGGGAATTTTGAAACAAGGTCACATACGATACGTCCAGCTTTAGGAATGCCTAGAAGTTCACCCATTCGTGGTGGGTCTAGATCAAAGTAGCTTGCCCAGGGGACGTCAATCCGTTCAGCCTTCTGCATAATATCTCGAGGGCAACTTGGGAATTGGCGAAGGGGAGTCATGGTTGGCCACATCCGCTTTTCGGCCATTTTGCAAAGATCCAGCGCTGTTTTTGCAACAGAGGACCAACCCTTCCGGAGAGTAATCTCGAATATAGCACGGAGGATTCGACCGGCAGATTGGGTAACATACACCATATCAGCCATTAAAGCGAGCCCGTCTAGCTTTAGTCGTGAAATAAAAGCTTGTAGCAACACATTGATTTTGGCGTGCGGTTCCTCAATGCTCTCCTTGACAGGAATAGGGACTCGGCTCAACAACTTTGCCAATTCCAACTTCTCGTCTTGTCGAACAGGGATATACTTGAATTCCTCACTCAGCGAGAAGATTCGGAATAAATCAATCGTAGAAATCATGGGCTGTAGATGATGGTTATATGTGAGCATAGAGCCGTGAGAGATATAATAGTGAGATGCGATGCGACCGAGCTCAGTGGCCTGGAGTTTGCCTGTTTTCCTGTCGTATTTGACAAGGTTGGATTTCTCCAGGACCATCGCCGCAGAGTGAATAAGATCCACACGGCGCTGCTCAAGCGAGGTGTCATGTTCATAATCGGCACCGATGCTATAAAGTCCCGGAGAACGAAGCATTCTGACAAACAAATAAGTGTAACCAAGCCATTCCACGCCTTCTTCACGAGACCGAACATTTCCTAGAACGATCTCGGCATTGAGGTTGTCGGCAAGCTTACTCATAAGCTGACTTTCAATGGGTAGCTGTTGATTGAGGAGTGACAAGTAATACTGAAGCTCCGCCTGTGTGGTGATTATTATACCCTCGCCAAATGAGTCGTACTGGGGCCGACCTGCTCGCCCAAGCATCTGAAGGACATCCTGGGGGCTAAGCTCTACCCAGCTGCCTTTTTCAGGAGAGTAAACTTGAGTTCCCTTAATGATAACACAATGTGCGGGCAAATTGACGCCCCACGCAAGCGTGGCGGTACAGACAAGGACTTGCAAACTACCATCTGCAAACAGATCCTCAACAGATGTTCGATCCGCTTTGCTCATCCCAGCATGATGGATTCCAAATCCGTATGGCATTAGGTCTTTCAATCCAGGATCATTCACTGAGTCAGCCTCTTCAGCCAAGATAGCCCGGCTGGCGGCATCGCTTCGTAAAATTTGCCCAATAGTTTCCATCTCAACTGCTTTATCACGGATATACCTTGCTGTTTTAAGGGTCTCCTTTCTTGAATGGACAAATATCAGCATTTGGTTTTTGTTCGCACCCACTTGGTCTAGGACTTTGGTGTAGCAAATATCGTTCATTGTTTTCAATTGCTTAATGGCCTTCTTGTCTGTAACACCGATAAATTCTTGCTTCAGTGGGCATGGTCGAAAGGTACCATCAAAATGGAACAGTCCGTGGATGGGGTCAACACGTAGAAAACTGCCAACATCACGATAGTTTGGAAGAGTCGCACTAAGTCCAACTAAGCGAACCGGTTCTCCGGTTTGCTCTGTCTTTCGTATAGTTCGACTGACGATGCTTTCCAGTACAGGACCACGCTCATCGTGAAGCAGGTGGATTTCATCGATAATGACAAGTCTAACTAGGCGAGTATAGCTAGTGTCGGTCGCTTTTCTTGTTATGATATCCCACTTTTCTGGAGTTGTGACAATAAGTTGGGTATCTGCTATCTGCTGTTTAGTTAATTGACGGTCACCAGTGAGCTCGGAAACTTTGATGCCATAGTGTTGGAGACGTTTCCCGAAATTCCCTACTTGCTCTTGAACCAAGGCTTTCAATGGAGCTATGTAAATTATTTTGAAGTCGTCAAGCATGATTTCACCGGTTTCCGGATTTCTATTTTTGCCGATTTCACGAAGCATCGTAAGCATAGCCACATTAGTTTTTCCAGATCCAGTGGGAGCGCAAATCAGCATGTTACCGTCGTCGTTGAAAGCTGTGGGGAAACATTTTGACTGAATCAAGTTCAACTTGTCGGTGTTGCCGAAACCTGGCCGGGACCATTCTGGAAGCTCAGTTATTGGTATCCTCCTGATGTCATCATCACGTCTAGGTTTGGGTGCCGGGACATGAATCTCCTCGTAGCCCTTGAATGTTCGCTTCGTGGAGCCTTGAGGAAGTTTAACATTGGGATTGGTCATTAGATGATTACCCTGGTCAAAAACCAAATTCTCAAGATTGATGACTTTCGATGGAGGAAGTCCGCCGACCATAGTCCTTGGTTTAGCCTCATCCTCTTCCTCCTTTTTGGCCATGGGAGTATCAACATCCATTGAGTCAACTTTCATCTTTTTCCCAAGGCGCTCAGTGGAATCTTGGACCTTGCCAGTTAATTCATCGAGGAGGAGTCGGTGCCCGTTTTCTATCATTTGGTTTTCAATGAGACGTCTGGAATCACTATCTTCGGCTTCCCTTCGCCACCTTGTCGTCCAAACAATTCTATCACGGTTAAGGACCAAGGTTCCGACAAGCTCTGGATGGTCATAGTCAAACAGTTCCATCAGGTCATTTTCGACGTCTCTCAACGGCTTTGGGGTACCATCCTCTGACTGCTCGCTCATTAGAGCAAAAGCTTCCTGAGCCTTCTCATGTTGTACATGGGCGTCTGAGTAAATATTTCCGATCTGTCGTTGTAGCCAGTACGCATCGATCTCGCGTGCGGGCACAAGTTTAGTGCTGGCGTCAGATTTTCCCGCGGCGGCTCCAGCTCCAGCGTCAATGATCATATCCTCATCACCCATGCCCATGACGTCTTCGGGTATATTTTGGGCAGCTTCATGTTCGTCGGCTGGTCCCTCATCAGACATATCCTCGTCCTCACTACTCTCTCCTTCATCTTTAACTTCTGCATCGGGCCGCATTTCATCTTCATCTTCATCAGATTCATCGAATACAACAGCCACACCCTGACGTTCATCTAGCTCAGCACCGTCCTCGCCTTCTGCGCCAGCGCCATTTGTTTCATCGTCGTCTTGAGCGTCGTAGTCTGTAATTTTCTTCCCAAGATTTACCAACTCATTGAATTCCTTCGGACCCATAGTAACACCCAAAAGATCGTCCACTTCTTTTTTCTTATCGAAATCCTTCATATTTTCATCCTTCAAGAGTTCAAGTATGGCATCCGCGGCGCTCCGAATGACATCATGTGGTACATCACCCAGGTGGCTTGCCGTTGTTGTCAGTATCAAATCATATGTAGCTCTGGTTGCAGCCGTTCGCGGTCGGTATTTAAGGCCTTCGATGAGGGCATCTGCGGCGGACAATATTCCGACACCTCGAAGTTGTGCCTGTTCTCCTCGTTTCCTCTTGCGCTGTTCCCGCTTCAAGACGTCGGCGCCTTCTCTTATCCCTCCACGCTCAATATCTTTTGGGGCAGATGCTTTCTTCTGCTTGCCTTCTGGACGCATCGCGTGGACACCCATATCCTTGATACTGAGGCGGCCCGCCAGGGACTCTGGATCACCCGTAACCTCATCAGCACGGCGAGTAACGAATCGGCGATCCGCCTGGAGGACCAGGTTGGACATCGCCGAGTACTTGTACTGCGCGACATTATTGGGGTCCGCCATCTTGAGGGTAACTCGGTGGTCAACAATCCTATTTGAAGCTCCGTCTTCACTCGTTTAAGAGGGCGAATATATACCCTGAAAGCATCAACCTAAAAACAAGAACTGATAGCTGCGATCCATCCGTTGATATAAAAAACCCCGCGAAAGCAAAAGGGATGGAGTTCGAGAATTGTGAAAGTTGATATCTTGCTATCCAGAAGCTTGCAAATTTCTGGTTGAACCGCGTCAAAAAGCTCGAATCTTACGTAAGCGCGATAAGCTCCCCAAAAACAGACTAGCCTGGGCGTTCCTGGTCATGTGATGGCTAGACGCCGGGCCCGGGCCCAGACGCCAAAAGGGGAAATTCGCGATATCAAAAAGTTGACAGGAGATGGACTAACGACTCCATGCTGCAAACGTACGATGAGACTTCTAAGCGTTCGTGGACGTATAGCAAGGCCGTATTCATACCCTAGAAACCTACTTCATACCCAAAGACCTGGCTCGTTACAGTTTAAGGTCACATACCCGATTCTATCATGGCGCGGTGCCAAAACGAAGTCGGCGGCAAGACTGTCAGATCTTGCTCAAGGTCCCCTGGAATCCAAGAAACCATTAGCCCCATTTACTGATGACGTTCCACAATATCCCGCTGTTGTCCAGGGAGCTAAATATAACATGCAAAAGTTTGCTAACTGTGTTCTTCTCACAAGAGTTGGGAATTTTTACGAGGTAGGACCCTCTTAAGCTTTAGCACAACATACGCGGCACAGATTTGCCTCGACGACTAACGAGCTTAATAGCTTTATTTTCATCAAGCTGAGGAATATGCCAGCTTGTTGAATTTAAAATTGGCGTACAAAAAAACGGCTGTTGGGCCTGTTCCCATGGCTGGCTTTCCCTATTTTCAATTAGACCGCTTTCTCAAGACTTTGGTTCAGGAAATGAAGAAAAATGTGGCTATTAGCGAAGAGTTTGCAAATGACGCCGCCGCAAAGGCCAAAGCTGGTGGATTGATGTTCGACCGCAAGGTTGCGCGTATAGTCACACCTGGCACGTTGATTGACGAAAAGTTTATTGACCAATATCAAAACAACTATCTTCTCTCTATACATGTCGATCCCAGCCTGAAATCTTTGCAATTCGGTACAGATGACCAAGTAACCCCAGGGGAGGTCAATCGCCTTCCCGACTCCGACATAATTGGCCTCTCGTGGCTGGACTTGTCAACCGGAGATTTTCTAACCCAGGTTACTAGCCCTCAGATGCTTGCTTCTGCAATCACACGAATAGGAGCCCGTGAAATCCTAGTCGATCAATCTATGGGGGAACCCTTACGGTCGCAGCTGGAGGCATTGGTTGTCCAGGAGCATCAGCCCATTACGTACATTGAACGTCCCAATAATATCCAACCATTATCAGAGTGGAATTCTAGCTTTGATTCTCCAATATCTTCAGAGGTTGCTGCTATGTTTACCCCTCAGGAGATATCTGCCTGCCAGATGGTCCTTGAATATGTCAGGAAACAGATAAAAGAAACGGATGTGAGGCTTCAGCCACCTCGCCGAAGATTAGCCGAGGACTCAATGTCTATCGATCGTAATTGTCTAAGAGGGCTTGAAATCTTAGAAACAGCAAGAGATGGATTTGGTAAAGGAAGTCTGCTGCATGCAGTGCGGCGAACTTCAACAAGCAGTGGTGCCCGGCTGCTAAGGGAACGACTGAGTAAGTGGTCCACCTACTGCCCCATCTATAGCATTTCTAATCTGGCATCTACATAGCCGCACCATCAGCCTCTTTAGAGGTCATAAATGAGCGTCTAGATCTAGTTTCTCTTCTGTTGGAAGACGAAGATTTACGGGAAAATATTATGAGGTTATTGAAACGCAGCTATGATACCCAACGCCTGGTGCAGAAATTCTCACTTGGGAGAGGATTACCGGATGATCTTATATGTCTTTCACGAGCTATTGATGCTTCGGGCGATATTAAGTCAATATTGGAACAAAAACTCACAGCCGTGGAATCCAAAGCCGCCGCCGAAGACGATATCAGTAACTCTAAAAGCATCCGACCTCTATTACACCGTTTAAACTTGCATGGTCCAGGAGAATTGTCACGGTCCATACAAGATTCAATTGATGAAGAAATGCTTCTACAGAAGCAACGTGTGGAAGAGGATGCAGCCGCTGGTGATTCAGCCCTCGCCCATGACGTGCTATTAAGCGAAGGGTCAGATGCAGACCTTAATGCAATGCCAAAGAAAGTCAAGGATTCAAAAGTGGATGGGCCAAAGGGGCCGAGTGGACCTGACTCCCCCAGTGACACCGCCTGGATTATGCGACCAGATGCCAGCAAGATTCTAAGAAATCTACATGACGCTCTTGAGAACCTTTATTCTGAGAAAGCAAAGCTAACGAAAAGGCTCCAGCAGACGTTAGACACTGCACAGCTTAGCCTAAAGTGGACACCTGGTCTTGGCCATATCGTCCACATGAAAGGGACCAAAGCAATGAAAAAATCACTAGAGGATCTAGGGGTAACACGTACCGTCTCCTCCTCAAAATCCACGCGCTCGTTTTATATACCATCTTGGACCCAACTTGGTGCCAAGTTAGAAAGCATGAAGCAACAAATCAGAGCTGAGGAACAACACATATTCAAGAGGCTACGGCATACGGTGATTTTGAACCTAGTCAAACTCCGCCGCAATGCAAGTGTTTTGGACGAACTTGACGTAGCTTGCTCTTTTGCAGCTTTAGCAAAAGAACAAGGAATGGTTAGGCCGATTGTTAACAATGGTTTAAGCCACAAAATCATCGGCGGCAGGCACCCTACCGTTAAACTTGGAGTCGAAGAACAAGGTCGCCCCTTCGTCAGCAACGACTGCTTTGTAGGGGGTAAGGAGCGAATTCTACTTATCACTGGGCCCAACATGGCTGGCAAGAGTACATTTCTTCGACAAAACGCTCTTATAACTATCCTTGCTCAAGTGGGCTCCTATGTTCCAGCTGAGTACGCAGAGATAGGGCTTGTGGATAAGATATTCAGCCGCATTGGAGCAGCCGACGATCTATTCCGCGATCAATCAACCTTTATGGTTGAAATGCTGGAGACCGCATCCATCCTAAAACATGCCACTCCTCGTTCGTTTGTGATAATGGATGAAGTTGGCCGAGGAACTACCCCGGAAGATGGAACTGCCGTAGGGTTTGCTTGTCTGCACCATCTTCATAATGAGAATAAAGCCCGCACTTTGTTCGCGACTCATTTTCACGCTCTAGCGGATATGACGGCGGATTTTGAGCACGTTGGCAGATATTGTACCGACCTGAAAGTGGATTCATCCGGCGGTTTCTCATTCGTCCATAAGTTAAGGCCTGGAATTAACCGACAATCTCATGCACTCAAGGTTGCTCACCTTGCTGGCTTACCTCAAAGTGTGATTGACGTAGCCAAAGACGTGATTCAGAAAATGCCAGCCATGGAAACAGAGCTTGGCCATCAAGTAGAAGAAGATTGCCGCAAGGCAGCCCATTCAGCCTCTTGATAGCACGTGGCTATACCCACCATGTCATATATCTTCCATTATTTCGTTTAGTTGGATCCCAACTTGCGCCCAGACCCATATTTCTATAGATCTTTGATACCCCAGAGCTGACCAAATATTACGATTTTCCTACCTTTTCTTGGCTACCAGTGCGTAAAAGTGATAATGTTACCCTAAAGATGTATTAACCAATTATTTCGTCTGTCTTAGGTTTATAATAGTAGTAGTAGAAGAATGGTTGTTAGCCAGTAATCTCTGGCGCTACAACTTAGCCACTACCTTTGACGAGCGGGCATCAACCTCCACAACAATACCGTCTTCCAAAACAACAAGTTCACAATCGTCGCGATCGATTCCATTCACATATTGAACAACAACAAAATCTATCCTCTGCCTCCCTATAACCACCATAGGAGCATGCCATGTTCCCGCCGCATAAGTCACTGCCTGACCTGGCCTAGCAATGAATGCTTGCAGGTTGTTACGATCCGGAGGATCGCGTATCGATGTTTCTGACTCCACCTGGCCTACTAGGGATGGAGCAACAATGACCAAATAGAAGACGTCTTCAGTCGCAGTGTCTCGTCTTCTGGCATGTTCCTGATTGTGGCTCCGTGATATGGGAATGAATGACTGTGATGTGTACGAATGTCTTTCGAGAAACTTTACGTCAAATAATCCGGACAGATTCTGGTTCCATAGTCCAGAAAATCCTTTGGACGAAGAGGGAACAGGTAGAGATAGAGGAGAGCGCAATTCCCGGGGGAAGCATGAGAACATGCTCATGCGAGCCTCCCCTCTCTTTGAGCATGTTCCATAGGATTCAGTGATTGGTGATATCGGGCTCCATTTCACAGCAAAGCCTTGATTTGCAGATTCAGCGGCACAGTCAGGAGTCTTGAAGCCGGCGATGGAACTTGGTGGAGTATTCAATGTGTCTGGCAGAGGTGTTTCGATTGCCGTCCCGAATGGCCTAAAGCTTTCCCTGGTAAAAGGTGAAGCTCGTACTCGAACTGTAGGAGTGGAAAGGAGTGATTGAACCATTATAGGAGAGATAGGTAGATTGAAATGAGTGTACAACGAGTCGCCGGCGAGCTCTCGTCTTCTTTGCGACTCAAAATTGTAGCTGATGTTGTTGCTCTTACCCTTATCGATAAACTTCATGCTCAACCGAGGTTGCCGCTTAGTCATTACAAATAATGGTCCGTGCTTCAATTGTGCCAAGGATACAGCAACCAATCAAAAAAGGGCTACTACTGGCCAATGAATAAAGTTATTATAGCTTACTAATAAGGTGCTTTCTATTGGCCTAGTCATCACCTCGTCTTTTTACCATCAACGACATCGATAGCTTGAGAACGCATCTGACCTGGATACTGTAGAAGAGTGAGAGAGTCAAGCAATGCAGAGTGAAGTAGAGCACAAGATGCCGAAGAAGGAGAGCTCTCCCCGCATTTTCACGAGCCGAAGATGGCTTGGTTACGCATTAAACAATAATATAAACCTTCACCGACCTTGATTGACAAGGTACTGTCCAAGTACCTGTTCGCCATGTTACAGTGCAACTGCAGTGACATCACTGCCGATTGGTACCTATTCCAGCAACAAAGGAAGTATATGTCCCGTATTATAGGCTTCTTCTCCCCGCACGGGAACCCGCTATTGCACGCCATCAGATCAAGTTGGCAGCACGGCGAGCTCCGGCAGGGGTATAAGAAAGGTCGTTTCCATTGTCATGGATGGCCTCACACCCCTTGATCTATTTCGCGGTGGGTTTACACACGCAAAACAGCTACAAACATATATACTAGCAGAGAACGTTGACAACAACTATGGGAGCCGACGATAAGCCTAGTGAGTTTATCTGTTTGAACCTGTTCTACATAAGCTGATATATGGCTCTTTAGGCACATATCGTTACAATGAGGTTCCAGTTTATACCACCTCTAATGGTTGCCCGGTAACTATTCGATTCCGATATAGGCAGATAGGATATATAACTAAAGGGCACTAGGTCATGGACCCGGAGTCATCACAGAGGGTTGGCGAGAATGGACCCTTGCTTTTACAGGACTTCCACCTCATAGACCTGCTCGCACATTTCGATCGCGAACGTATCCCTGAGCGAGTTGTACATGCAAAAGGAGCCGGAGCCTACGGTGAATTTGAAGTCACCGATGACATCTCAGACATTGTAAGATACGAGATAGACCAGCTAGAAGCACAGGGGCTAACGAGTTGAAATACCAGACCACTATAGACATGCTCAAAGGAGTAGGCAAGAAGACCAAGCTGCTCACTCGTTTCTCCACAGTTGGCGGTGAAAAGGGCTCGGCAGATAGTGCACGAGACCCTCGCGGCTTCGCTATCAAGTTTTACACTGAAGAAGGAAATCTAGACTGGGTCTTCAACAACACTCCAATCTTCTTCCTGCGTGATCCTGCCAAATTCCCTATCTTCATACATACCCAGAAACGTAACCCGCAAACAAACCTCAAAGATCCAGATATGTTCTGGGATTATCTGTCCACACACCAGGAGTCCGCTCATCAAATCATGCACCTATTTTCGGACCGTGGCACGCCTTATTCTTATCGCCACATGAACGGCTACTCTGGCCACACATACAAGTGGATTAAACCTGACGGCGGCTTCAACTATGTCCAAATTCATCTCAAGACCGACCAGGGTATCAAGAACTTCACCAATGATGAGGCGGTCCGAATGTCTGCTGAGAACCCAGACTGGCATACCGAGGATCTCTTCAACGCCATCAGGGCTGGCCAAAACCCATCTTGGACATGCTATGTTCAGGTTCTCTCCCCAGCCGACGCCGAGAAATTCCGGTGGAATATTTTTGACCTCACCAAGGTCTGGCCACATGGTGAAGTCCCTCTCCGCCGCATTGGCAAACTTACTCTCAACAGAAACCCAGAGAACTATTTTGCCGAGATGGAGCAGGCTGCATTCTCACCTTCCCACCTTGTACCGGGTGTCGAGCCCTCAGCTGATCCAGTATTACAGTCCCGTCTGTTCTCTTACCCAGACACCCACCGCCACCGTCTAGGTACGAACTACACCCAGATCCCAGTGAACTGTCCCTTGAAGGTGTACACACCTTACCAACGAGACGGTCACATGTCCGTTGATGGAAACCATGGCGCAAACCCCAACTACCCATCTAGCTTCAGGAAAGTGGCATTCCGCCCAGTTCGCGCTAGCCAGGAGCACGAGAAGTGGGCTGGAGCTGTCCTTTCAAAGCAGATACCAGTTACTGACGAAGATTTCGTGCAGCCAGGCAGGCTGTGGGAACTTATGGGTAAGGAGAAGGGGCAACAGGATAATTTCGTAGGGAACGTGGCAGGCCATTTGGCGGGAGCTAACGAGCAGGTCAGGAGAGCAGCTTATGGAATGTTCCGCAGGGTCAACCAAGAGCTTGGAGCCAGAATAGAGAAGGCCACTGAAAAGGAGGTCTCTTCGAAGCCACAGCCACGTCTCTAAATGGATATTCCAGTTGCCTTAGCCTAGCATATCATTCAATTCCAAGATTGAGATCAAATCATGACCGAGATTTAGATTGCTTATCTCAGAACTAAGAAACAAATTGCTTACCTGTCCCAATAAAGTGGTAATCATGAATTTCATGGTCGCTGCTCCTCTCAAAGTATGGAAACCAATCCCAACAGCCCAATGAGTTAAGTCTCGACAGCTCCACTCCAACGCGAAAGATAGAATAGAAAAACGCATATCTCTCGGCCTATCCTACTATCGTTGTTATCTCATTCACCGCTGGCTGATAGAAAAAAAAAAATAAAAAAATAAAAATGTAATGGGACAAACCGGGATCGAACCGGTGACCTTCTGATCAACTAGGTGAAACCTTGTTCCTGAAGTTTTCTTCAGTCAAACGCGCTCCCAACTACGCCATTGCCCCAATCCATGGTGACGCTGGAGACTTTCTGCATTATGGCTAGGCCGAGGGTCAACCCTCGTTGTTGCGCCTTCCGACACCCACATATAGAAACATAATAAACCACTGGGCTCAACAGTCGCAGGAATGGCTATCTAACAGAATATATCAAGGCGCATAGACTATATAAATGGGAGATCCATATTAATTTCTCATTAATTGCGCCCTTTACTGTCTTTAGGGGCCATGCTCTGAGGAGTATCCAAACCCCTAACCACAGCTTGCTAGTAAACCGCCAGCTAACCTCATACATCTACAGTCTAGCTAGTTGTGTTAGCCGGTTGAAGGTATAATTCTTGACTATGCAATAACGATTAACAGACTCTTTTCTCCATTTTTCATTTTATGTGGTGCAGTCACTAGCAATACGACTATCGACTCTGTCGCCTATGCTCAGATTACTAAGTCATTGGGAGATATGACGGAGCCCTGATGGGATAAACAAAAGATTAGATCAGAGAAAATACACCCATAACAACGTTAGGGTTAGAGTCATGATAGGTCCAATAAGCGTGAATCCCGGTGAGCTTCTATCGCTGCTTCAAATGGCGCTATTCTTCAGTTGTACATTCGTTCTCCGATGCATGACTGATTTTGTTGATAGACGGCTTCCCTCTCTCTACGATTGTGGAGATATAGCTCTTCCCGCATTCGCATACCGTTTATTGCCCCGAACGGCCCATGTACGCAATGGGAGGAAAACTTGGTAATCAATTCTCCTTGAAATGCTCATGACAGCCTGTGGATACTTGCAGTATTCCACACTTTGGGCGCTCTGACGAGACTTCTCCAATGTTTTAAAGGAAGGAAAATACGCCGATAATATCGCTGGTACTATGACGGCTATTCATCCAGAGTTGTGGATACTGGGTATTGTGCGAGAGTGGCTTTATATGAGATGAATGACACCAGGCTCTCTGTGGAGGAACCAGTTCTCAGCAATTTGGAGGAAAGCAATCTGGGCTTAACTTCGAGAATCTGGGGTATCATCCTGAGGCTTCGAGCTCTATACACAATGCTAGCACATTGTATATATCACTTTTGATAGTGAATCATTGGTTCAGTTCAAGTCACCAGCACGATTGCGGATGCCTTGGGTATATCTTCGGCAACAAACTGAGTGGCCACTCTTCTTGGGCTCTATTCTCGGTCGGCAGCGGTATAAAGATATATCGGCTTCGGATGTAACGTATGTTAATGCTCTGGCATTCGAGGCGCTTGTTAGTTGTTGCAATACTCGAGAGACCCAGGCATGGCTGGGTCACATGACGCTCGAGGCCAAAAAAAGCCCTGACCACACACACAAAACCCGCGCGGCTCTCGATTATATTTATCATTCTTCCTTGTGAAGGGCCAGTTAGCAAAAACACGAAGGGAGCAAAAAAGAATTGATGACTAGGGAATCTCAATGGGGCAAACCGGGATCGAACCGGTGACCTTCTGATCAACTAGGTAGAATACCTTGTTCCTGAAGTTTTCTTCAGTCAAACGCGCTCCCAACTACGCCATTGCCCCTTGTGATGGAGTCGATCGGCCGGTGGGGTTCATTAGTGGTATTACTTGCATTTCCATGAGAGGCATGGCTGTCTTCTCCAAGTTCCACGACCGCCCGTGGGGTGTTCGTTGCAAGTATGGGGCTGTATATTTAGTCCAGATGAATAGCCGCCAGACACGGCGTATAGCAACAAATCAGTCAATTATTCTTATACCCTGCGTTTAGGGAAACATGATGTCATTAACGGATTACCATGGCTCTATCAGTATTCTATAGCAGGGGAAAGAGGAAGAGAAGTAACAGAGGCCTCGCAACCGACCAAGCCACAACAGCCATAGCAAAGAAGTAAGAGTGTAATCCAAAACAAGAGGCGCAAGGAGGCCAAAAAAGAAAAGCCACAAAAAAAAAAATTAAAACCTTGCTAACAATTGGTCATACCAATCAACGACGAATAGCCGCGTCGCCCTTTTCCTCCTAAGCTTTTTCAAATTAAAGGAGACTCAAACAAGACACGGAAGTACGCGTAAGTACTTCAAAGACATGTCAGCTCAGGTGTTGAAAGGGGATAAGGAATGAAAGGCGGAGAGATATGAAAACATGACACAGAGACAGTGTATCGGAAGGCGTTTGTACAAAGAAGAGCAGAAAAAGAGGAGAAGAACAGAGTAAATAGAGGGTGGAGAAGAATTTCTTCAAAGGGATAATTAGTCTTTTCAATCATAGTAACTTTTGGTTTTTGTCGTTGGCGTCCCTTTGCAAATACGTGATCGTGGATATGTATCCAAACCCCGTTTTCACATTAATGTAAGAAAAGGAGGTAAAGCGGTATGTAAGGAGAGTCGGTCGGACGCTGGCGTATTAAGTGCGGCCGTACTTGGCCTTGCCGAAGGTGAAGGGAACATATCGGTATTTGATCATGTGTTGTATTTGTCGTCGCACTATACCTCGTGTTAGATAGACCGGAGAGAAATAATTAAATATGCGGAGAGAATATACGTACTCGTCAAGCAGAACAAAATCAACCAGTACACGACCAAGATCGGCCAGAAGACTGGGATGTTGAATATCTGAGACCAGGTGCAGGAGAAGGCCAGAGTGATAGCCACGGTTGCCGAGTGCCAGAACTTGAACTCTGGAAGTCGTCGAATAAAGGGGCGGAACTCTTCGTCTTGGTTGGTAGGAAGAGACGCACCAGCATCACCCTCTTCTAGTCCAGTATCCTGGGTAAGAGATGGGTCGAATTTCGGTTGGAGAAATGCGAGGAAGAGGTTGAGTAGGTAGATTCCTAGAGTGTATGCCACTGACGAAAAGGTCAGTCAGATTTGATTCCGTAGCTAGAATACGTTAAGCGATAACATACCGATATACCAGCCTTGCGCCAGCACTATCCTAAGGAAGAAAAGCAGGAGCATGACGCCGGTGCCTATCCACCGGTACATGGTATATGGGGTCGACGCATCGAGATACGCTTGATATTGCTATAAACATTACACCTTCGTTAGTCACAAGAACAGCGCAAGTGTAGACATGGCAACTAAAGAGTCCGCAAGGTTGCATCACTTACTCTTCTCAACTTTGAGGTTTGCGCGGAAACCGCTGTAAAGGGGCTGTTCTCTGGCTCTGGACGATCCATAGTGACGGTAAAAGTGTGAGATTATAGGCAGGAGTTGGGCGGCGCTCGGTGTGTTTTGAAAGGTGTCCTGTCTGTGTCTGGAGCTTGCGATGCGAAGACTGGGAGAGATGACGGCCTGGGTGACGACGACGGTGTTTGATATAATTAATATTAAAGCCTGTATAACTTTTGGAGAAAACTTTTCTTGGCATGCACCAGCCACAGTGCACGGCCCAACGTGATACCGAGGCTGACACATGAGCTAGTCCTAATATGGAATTGATTATATAAGTGCATATATATGTCACGTGTAGTCATGTGACCAAAACTTCGGGTCGGCTTGCCGCGGCTTCCCTTCTGCCTCGGCGCTAGTTTGGCGCGGAAACAGAACATCATCATCGTTGATTTCGGACCTGCAGACCGACGTGAGCAGTTGAGGTGTTGTTCTATTTCTAGGTATCAATTGGCAAGATATACATCTTACACCATGTTTGCCAGACGCTGCTCAAGACTTGTGGCCGCGCAGACTGCCCGGCCATTGCAGTCATACATCTCCCGCTTCTACTCAACCGGATCCCCAGCCTATGAGTACATCCTCACATCTACTCCTAAGCCCGGTGTTGGGTTAAGTACGACTGACTATCTTACTGTAAATCTTGCGAGGATGTTACTGACTGTTTCTAGTCACTCTTAACCGACCAAAAGCTCTCAATGCCTTGTGTAGCCCTCTTTTCAAGGAACTCAACGAGGCCCTCACCAAGTATGACGAAGATAAGAGCATTGGCGCTATAATCATCACCGGCAGCGAGAAGGCATTTGCAGGTACGCATTAAGGATGGGCGATGACTTACGTAGGAGTATGACCTTCTAACTTATTACTAGCTGGTGCCGATATCAAGGAAATGGCCCCTCTCACCTTCGCCGCCGCCTACAACGACAACTTCATTGCTCCTTGGTCACATCTTGCCAACACAATCCGAACTCCTGTCATTGCTGCGGTCTCCGGATATGCTCTAGGAGGTGGCTGCGAGCTCGCCATGATGTGTGATATGATCTACTGCACCGACAAGGCCACCTTCGGACAGCCAGAGATCAAGCTCGGCACTATCCCCGGAGCCGGTGGTTCTCAGCGTCTGACCAAGCTCGTCGGTAAGAGCAAGGCGATGGAGCTCATCCTCACCGGAAATACCTTCAGCGGAAAGGAAGCTGGGCAGTGGGGAGTAGCCGCCAAGGTTATTGAGGGCGGCAAGGATGAGCTTATGGAGGCTACCCTTGAGACTGCTAGCAAAATCGCTAGCTACAGCCGTGTTGCTGTTGTTGCTGCCAAGGAGGTTGTTAACAAGAGCCAGGAGCTTTCGCTGAAGGAAGGTGTTGAGTTCGAGAGAAGACTGTTCCACGGCCTCTTCGGAAGCAAGGACCAGAAAATTGGTAGGTCTATTACTTGTTTACAATATGAACTCGACGCTAACTTGAGATGAATAGGTATGACCGCTTTCGCTGAGAAGAAGAAGCCTGAGTGGTCTCATGAGTGATCTGTGTATCAATATATATACTACCCTAGAACGTGCTTATTTTAAGGCTTTACAGAGCAGCGCAGTACCATATGTCTAAAAGACTTTGCTCGAAAGACAATCAAGCAACCTTGTTGCATTTCATTCAACAATTATCATGATTACCCTAAAGTGCTTCGGTGTTTCTCACTACACATACATTCCTATCGCAATTGCATGTTCCCATTTTTGGCTGTTTTGGGTATCAACACCATTTCAAAGCAGCCTTGTTAGCTTGATGGAAACTAATTACTCGTTGAGCTTTGAAGCCTTCTTGCTAACATCACCCATAGCTCCTTTCACTTTCTCTCCAAGAGTGCCGAGCACACCACCTGAAGATACATAATCAGCAATGGCTCTCACAAACGGTGTCAACAGAATAAACTTACCAGTTTCTTGGTTCTCGGGGGGCTCTGCACGGCCAGTATGGCTTCCATATCCCTGCCTTCCATAGTCCTGCGTCATGTAGCTTTGGTCATCATATCCATGACTCTTGCCGCTCATTCCTGCCATACCCTCACCGGGATCATCAGTGGCCCTGGAGGTCTGTTGGCGCTGGGAAGAGGCCCCTGGGTAGGCTCCAGTAGTTTCCTCCTCTTGCATGCCACCCGTTCCTCCGGAACGAGAGGTATCCTCGACGCCTTTCATACCTTGGCCACCCTGCAGGTTACGGGAGCCGGCGGAGCCCATGCCGCCAGCCTCGGTCTGGTCGTCGAAGTGAGTACGTTGGGCGTACTTCTTGGACTCCCATCTCTGAGCTTGGGAGTTGGGATCGGTGGACAAGATGTCTTCGTTGATTTCTTCGGTGAAGTCTTGACCTCCCTGGGCAGTGCTGCGAGTGGTGCGCTGAGAACGGCGCTGGGAAGTGGTCCAGTTGTCTCCGATTCCAGACATGATGGTTGTACCTTTGTTTGCTTGTTTCCGCTTCTTTGTTGACTTGATGAATCTCTGGTATATTTCTGGTAGAGGGACATTCAGAGATCGTATCTATGTCCCTTTTATATACTATCTCGTGCCCATATTCGCCACGATGTAGAAACAGGATCAATATGTATGATATCATAGGCCTTATGGCTGATCAAGGAATGGCCAATTGAACATCTATTTGGAGATATGCGAATACCAGTAAATCTCGTCCAGCATCCATGGCCAGGTCGCTCTAGCTGGGACATGGCCGTGTGAGGTGGATTCGTGGCGAGCAATTGCTGCCAGTGATGCTACAAGCTCTAGACTCACTGCTCTGGCTCGCGGTACGTACAGTGAACTCTCATAGCTCGCTGTACCTTTTTAGTCTATTTCTTTATGTTTAGTTAGGTTGGGTACATCGGCATAGCAGTTGACCGTACTCTTGCCACTTATACTAGAGGTTGTTATACACTTTGCCCCGGAGAGCTTACTAGCAACAAACAGGGAAGCAGATATAACATCTTGTTTGACCACACGCAGAAGGGAGCCTCAACTACAAACACTGTAGTTTACTCCTGAGGACTTCGTCCAGCAGAATCCTTCGGGAATCATGCGGTAATGTCTTTTCAGTATAAATACGAGTTATGGAGCGATGACCACTAATGTGGCCATTTGGCTGCCTGGATTCAATGCATACTGTCAGGCTGTTCGTATGCAGGTCGTATTCAATGGTGACCAAAGTGTCCATTGAGAATAGAGAATGACTGCCCTGTAATGCTTATATTATAGCAGGGCACTCTTATTTTAGCCGCATCCTGCACTATTGGTTACTTCTGGGCATATTTCGCGGTGGAAGTGGATACAAACATCTACTCCAAGTATCACCAAATGAGACGAGCCTGCATCTTATGCCGTGTCAAAGACGAGGGTCACGATGAGTTTAGTGGCCGCATATTATATACTGGTCAAAAAAACAGAGTGATATCCATTGCAATGAGCCTCACCGGGGCTGTTGATTTCAAAGCAGGCCGACGGATCCTTCAGTATCCCAGAAGATGTAGCATCTAGATCTTGCTTCACCTTCACGATGGCCACGGATATATAAAGCCAGGGAACCTCCTTACTGTTTACAAAGAAATCAACAAGAAACTAAAATTCCCTTCAAAAATTATCTACCCAACGTTTTTCAAGTTACTTCGCCCACTAGCAGGCTTGTCTTACATTGCACCATGGCTTCCTACCTTATCACCGGCACCTCGCGCGGCATTGGCCTTGCTCTGGTCAAGGACCTGGTTGCTAAGCCTGCCTCTGAGGTGTCTATCATCTTTGCTGCTGCACGTACGGAGACTGCCGCATTGAAGGAACTAGTTGAGAAGTCCGCTGGCCGCATTGAGTTCGTCTCTATAGACGTCACGTCCCCTGAGAAAGTAAAGGCGGCAGCGAACCAAGTTGAGAAGTCGCTTGGTGGGAAAGGGTTGGACATTCTTATCAACAATGCTGGTGTATTGAATTTCATGCCTGATGGTATTGAGGCCATGTAAGTTGTTTGTAACATTCAATTCTTCTGGTTTGTAGCTGATGGACAGGTACAGGACCGATCTGAACGCAACGTTGAATATCAATGTGGTCAGCGTCCACATTGTTACAAGCGCATTCCTCCCACTTTTGAGGAATGGTACTATGAGGAAAGTCTTCAACATGTGAGTATATCTGAAAGACACCAATCTCTGAGTAGAGTACTGATATCGTATAGGTCTACAACCATGGGATCCATTGGGATGGCAGCAAAATTCAGGGCTGCACCTGCTCCGTCATACAAAATTTCCAAGGCGGCCCTTAATATGCTCACAGTGCAATACGCGCTAGCCCTCGAGGATGAAGGTTTTACCGTCGTTGCAGTCTCCCCTGGCGTAAGTAACCCAGAACAACCTTCCGTGCATCACACTCTAATAGGTATAACAGTGGGTGAAGACAGACTTGGGCGGTGAACAGGCTGATTTGACCGTAAGCCAAAGCTCCCCTGCCGTTTTGAAGATTGTGTCTACTGCCAGCAAAGCAGACAACGGAAAATTTCTCAATGTCTTGGTCCCTGGCTGGGAGAACCATGCCGGCCCTGACAAGTATGACGGCACTCAGCCAGACTGGTAAATATCGCATATCTGGCGGGAGTGAACCCTTTTCCTATTTATAGAGCATGCCTAAATTATTGGTCAATATATCTGGTTCATCAACTTTCATCTCATGATCATACGGCCCGGAATCAATGACATGCTTGCCATCTTATGTACATTCAAAACAGTCGGGGTATCATTTTGGGGTATTCAGACCTCCGACCGATCCTTTGGGTATACAGCAGCCAACAACAATAGCCTCGTGTTTCTTGCATTGGTAGAAGATCCTCCCCTTGATTTGGAGAGGCTGTAATCGATATTGTCCGTGGCTCAGGGTTAATCGTGGTCTGGAGGGTCGCCCTAGATGACAACCAATAATGACCAGGTCCTCTAGTTTTACTTGTAGAGTTGAGGCTCTTCGGCTGGTACCTGCCTAGACAGCAACAAGGGTGTAACTATTCATACATCTTGGCAAGAAAATACAAGAGCCCTTTGGAAGAAATATGCCAGACCCAGATCCTATCACAATAAGCCGCCCCATAGACGAATGGATTACCTTCACATCAATTCCGTGTACCGCATGTAACACAACGAGGTTCCCCGTTGTGGTACTCTATATTGAACCCGGTGAGCGGCCTGATACAGCTTTTACAGGCCCTCACGTTCGTCTTGCCAAGGGTCATTGACAATGGAGAAAAGATTTGCTGGGATTCGGGCGCTTTCACGAGGCCCGAGTCCACAAGCTTGAATAAAACAGCCGATCCCAGGCCACCAAAGTTCTCTATTAGAGCAAGGAAGTCCTTTCGGACGCCAAACCAATTCAGATTCTTCGATATAATGTCTGCAAGGATATTTCGCAGAGTGCGGTCATGTGGAGGTGAAATAATCATTATTTCTTCGATGTCTTGCAGAAACTCCTTGGAATTCCAATTGCTATGGGCCCAGCGGGTGAACTTCTCTGCTGCGAGGGCTTGCAGGAGAGGGATCCCGAATTTGTCGGCGGCTACGTAAACCTGGGCGTTATTTAAGCCAGCATCAGTCGTTTTACTCTGTTCTTCGTCGTTCCTTGCACTTGAGCCATCGGTCGAGGAAGGAGCCACAGTTATTTGGGAGTCCAAGGCCATTAAGTGACCCTTTTCATCGTACTCTTGTAGGTATAGAAATGACAAAACTCGTTCGATAGTCTCGGAGTCATCATCAGGCAGCTCGACTGTTCTCGACTTGGCTTCCTTGTCACCACTTCAGCGCCGATCTTGATCCTGAGGGCTAGGGGTATCGTTGGCAATCGACTAACCTTGAAGCCACCGTTGAAAGCCGCGTTGAAAAAGTCAGACTGCGTGCATACAACTGCGCGGTGGGCCTTGAAAGTGAAGCCATTGCAGACTATTTCCATGTCTGAGTAGCTTCCATACCGAAAGAGGTCTTTCAATATCTGTTTGAAAGTAAATTCTGGCCTTGGAGAAAATAGCATAAGTGATAATGACCCTGTGCTCAAGCTACTGCCGGCAAAGGGGCCGGACATCGTCTTGGACCGTGGATGTCTGTCGTTCTTCCACCTGCAATCTATCAAAGATCAAACTTGTTGTGTTTCGCTCCTTTTATATAACTAATGGAAGCTAAGATGATCCGCGTCGCGGCTATTTCCACAACGACCCCACAGACATCCGCGCGGATACGAGCTGGTAGTCACACCTACAAGTTGCAGCCTCACGTCCGGAGGAGGCCGAACAACACTGACACCGCATCATATACGTATTGACTATCACCATGGAAGACAAAGGACCTGAAGCCACCGCGTTGGCATCTCACTTCGCCGCCCGAGACGCCCTGATATCCAAGGAACTCTCCCTCCGCAGCGGTAACTGAATAACTATGCCCCCCCGGCCCGATCATATCCCCGCTCACTCGCCACAGCGCACAAATATACCCATGAAGCAAAAACGAGGAAGAAGAACTCCAGGACTGATAAAAAGGATATATCCATACAGATACCGCCTTCCGCAATGCTCTGTCACCCATCGCCAGCCAAGCATGTGCCATCGTCTCTCATATTCGAGAAGCAGAACACGCTTCGATCTGGAAACATGATCCGTCCAATCCAGATAATGAAGAAGGCATCGAACTGTACCCAGGCATGATGTTTGGGCTAGCCAAGCGGAAGCTTGAATCTACGCATCTGTGGAGAATAGCCAAGCGGATGCCCAAGGGGACATTGTTGCATTGCCATTTGGGCGCCATGGTAGAGGTAGACTGGCTGTTTGAACGGATTCTTGCCGTCGAGGGGATGCATGTATGTTCCTCCGAGGCGTTGGATACAGAGGCTGCCAGGGTCAGGGCAGTCGTGCTGTTCAAATATATCACTCCCAAGCCAGGTTCGAGCCACGTCTCTATTTGGTCGTCCGAATACCAGCCAGATACATACGTACCTGCCGCCGAAGCAGCTGATGCATTCCCGTCAACTGGCCGGCAGGGATTCGTGAGCTGGCTTTATGACCGAAGTGTAATAAGCGAACTGATGTATTTGGCTCACCGTTTGCCAGGGAGGGGCAGGACGTGCCGGATACAGGGTTCAATTACCGTGTTGCCGTGATGGGGGAGGAGATTGAAGCGTTTAAAAAGACGGAGGAAGGCAAAAACTTCTGGGGTGGCCGGCTCATTTGGACTGTTCTACGGGTTCTAGATGCCGATTCTATAGTTACCAGTAAGTCGATCGACGTGGAGAGAGTAGGATGTGAAGCTATAGTTAACTAACGGGATCCAGGCATGAAGGACTGTCTAGAAGCGAAACAGGCCTACCCTCATCTGGTAGCTGGCTTCGATCTGGTCGGCCAAGAGGACCTGGGCCAAACGCTCGCGGCCTTAATGCCTCAAATTCTGTGGTTCCGGCAACAGTGCATATCTCAAAACTTAAATATACCCTTTTTCTTCCATGCTGGTGAATGCCTGGGAGATGGTGACAGCACGGACCGCAACCTCTACGACGCCATCCTGCTCAACACCCGACGAATCGGCCATGCGTTCTCGCTCTTCAAACACCCGCACCTAATCGACATCGTCAAGGAGCGCCGCATCATGGTTGAGAGCTGTCCTATCTCCAACGAGGTGCTGCGGTTGACTGCCACTGCCCTAGCACATCCCTTGCCAGCCCTGTTGGCGCGCGGGGTATCTGCATCGCTGAGCAACGATGACCCTGCGCTGTTGGGACAGGGGACGTCGGGTATGTCTCATGATTTCTGGCAGGCGGTGCAGGCCTGGGAGAACCTGGGACTGGCGGGACTGGGCTCGCTGGCAGAGAACAGTGTGCGGTATGCTGCTTTTGAAGACGAGGACGACGAGCAGTGGGTGGGGGGTATCGATAAGGGGTATGAGGGTGGTGGCGTTAAGGCAGAGAGGATGAAACTGTGGCGACAAGAGTGGGAAGCCTTTTGTCAGTGGATTATAGATGAGTACGGAGCAGAGTTTGCGAAGTAGACTTGCCTCTTCTTTCTATATCAAAACACAACTTGTCTATATGTCCATGTTGAGAGTATGTACAATCTTATCGCCACGTGATGATAACTAGCTAGTGAATGGCGATAAGATAAGATCAAGCAGCTTCCTTGATCATTCCCCACGACTCGACCTTGCCATCCTCTTCCTTTCCTCCATACTCCGCCAGCGTCCAGGCAACAGGCTCCACGATCTCAAAGCCATGTGCCGTGTAAAGCGGAAACCCTTCCGGCGACGCCTCCAACCAAGTTGGCATGTCCAACTTCTTCGCCTCTTCAAGACCATGCTTCACGAGCGCCCCGCCGATGCCTCGCCGCTGATAATCCGGATGCACCGCGAGAAGATTCAGCACTACCCAATTAACACATTAGTTATCTAGCACAAAACGTCATGGTTTTTAACCAAGGACCTCCTGAGCCTCTTTCGACCAGGGTCTTTTGAAGCGTACAAACGTGTGGTTTTCCGCCCATCCTCCTCTTCCGGACGCCATAAAGCCAGTTGAAGAATGCCCTGCGAGCCGCATACCCTGACTCCGGCAGCCCTTCCTCGCCTGTCTCGACGTACTCGTCCGGCTTTTCAGGCCCATCCAGCTGCTCGATCCAGTTCTCGTCTGTCCTGAAATTCCACAGCGCAATGCCGGCTATCTTGCCATCGTCTGCCATGACTTTCCACAAGCGCGAGGAAGGGTGGTCCATCATCTGGGCGAATTTATCTGCTCGCGCGTTGATGGCGGATGGTGCAGGCTCTCCGAACATGAGAAGCGTGAGTGGTTCGGGGCCGTAAGCTGCGCGTTCGAGACGGGCCATCTCGAGCGTGTCTGCGGGGGTACAGGGGAGGATCTCGTGGGATGCCATTGTATCGCGTAGGAGGTAAAGTATAGTATCTCTATCTCTGAGTCTATGGTAGGTGTATCTCCCAGTAGTATCGCTCTCTCTTTATATGCTTGAATACCCTCGTCATCCAACATCTATCGGCCTCTGCTCGTGTCCGAAGTATACCTGCTGGAATGGTTCTTTGCTGTCGGACTCCCATCTCAGTGCCCGCCGCTTAGTCATCTCATCCGGATTATCTTTTCACCGAGTCCTCCCGCCTATGTTGCGCTTTGACCACTGCTGTAATTAGAACCGTTGAGCGGGGTTCGCGACTTGTTGGGACTAAAAATATGACAAGTAAAAAAATGCATTAAAAGAGTGCATTAAAAGAGAGTAAAAAGGAGTAAATGACGAGAGTAAAAAGGTGAAAAAGGACCTCAGAGCGAAAAAGAGAGAGACAAAGGAGATGCCTGTGAGAGCAAGGTAGAAGCCGAGGAGATGCCCCAAAGCTGCGACAATCCGCAATCTGGGGCCAGCGTCAGGCTCCCTTTTCTCCGTCCACCTGTCAAGGGCGCAAGCTGCGACTTGTCCACTTACCGCCTTTTGGGTGGAGGGCGCTGTCGCTGCATGACTAAGCAAGGAACCCGCCCGCCCACTTCTCCGCCAGTGGACGCTCCATGGGCAGAAAGACGCGCTCTGACTGGTCAATGGCTGGCCCCTTCCCCTGTCTGACTCAGCCCTGACTCAGCAGCCCCCGCCGGGTAAACGAGGAGCTTCCGCCCAGCCCGCAAAAAAGTGTTATTCATCCCTGGATCTCTCACAAGCCTTATTAATTATGATTAGGTGTTGATGCCGATATCAAGTCTGAAGTCTGAAAGTCTGCTGCCTCTGGCTCTGCCGCGTCTGAGTCTTAGCTATCTCCGTCTCTTACTCAGGGCCCCAACTTACGCTGACTAGTCGACCCTAGCTTAGTGACTTGCTGGCCTTCTCCTGCTCTTCCGTGCTGTTTTCGCGCTGCTGGGCCACATGTGTGCTTGATAGGCCTGCTCTCTCTTGCCCTCTCTTGCTCTCTCCAAGTCTCTTTGCCCTCTGTCTTCGTCTGCTCGTGCTCTCGTCCTGCCTAGCTTTCTCTCTCTCCTACTGCGCTGCTGCTGGATATACATAACCAACAGCTTCCCCTCCCCCTCCCCCTTATTCTCTCTCTCTCTTTTTCTCTCTCTTCTCTCTCTCTTACTCTCTGCTCTGGTTGCTTGTTACTCTCTGCTCTCTGTATTTCCTACAGTCAATTGCTAGATAGTCCAAAAGAAAAAAAACAAGATATACCACTCTCCCTCTCTCTCCCTGCCATGGCCACCACCTCCATCGCCTCGATGGGCGGCCTGCTCACCTCCCCCATCGTCCTCGGCGCCTCCCTCCTCGCCGTGCTCGTCCTCTACCTCGCCGTCACCGGCTCTTCCGCCTCGGCCGTTGGCAAGGACGGCAAGGCCCAGCAGGAGCCGGCCGGCTTCCTCGTCTACTGCCGCTTCATCTACGCCAACTTCATCAAGCCGTTCCATACCCCGTCCTCCGCCGGCGCCCCTTCAGGCCAGCAGCAGGCGCTCGAGAACTTCTACCAGACTCAGGTACTTCCACATCATCGTCACCACCGACGGCGAGACAACGGCGCCCCCGCTCCTGACGGCGACGAGACTTATGGTAGACTGGTGTTGACGCTGTGTGAACAGGCTTCCGTGTACGATGCGACTAGACGCCGTCTGCTCAGGGGCCGAGAGGACATGCTCGGCCTCCTCGCGGCGCAGCTGAGACTCAAGATGGCCTCCAAGGACCACAGACCCGTCTGGGTTGACGTACGTCTGCTTCTTCTTCTTCTTCTCTTTCTCTATCTTTTCCCTCCTCTCGTCTCGTCTATCCCGCTAACGTCTGTAGATTGGCGGCGGTACTGGGTGTGTTAAAAAAAAAGTCCAGAAATGCCGAAGAAACAAAAGTGTTAGTGCTTACATAAGCTAGGTACAACATCGAGGCGATGGCGGCTTTCGTCGACGTCGAGCAGTATTTCGAGCATGTCTACCTCGTCGACCTGTCTCCGTCGCTCTGCGAGGTCGCCAGACAGCGCTTTGCCCGTCTCGGATGGAAGAACGTCTCTGTCTTCTGCCAGGATGCGCGCGAGTTCCGTGTTCCTGGCCAGGACGCAAAGGCCGACCTCATCACCATGAGCTATTCCCTGTCCATGATCCCAGGTAAGACCCTTTGCTATTTCTCTGCTCAGGCTGACGAAGGACATGCTAACCCGACGTTCCAACAGACTACTACTCGGTTGTTGACTCTCTGTCCTCCCTGCTGAGAAACGACGGCACCATCGGCGTGTGTGACTTTTACGGTGCGGCCCGAACCTTGCTGATAAGCTTATTTTTTTTATAATCTGATGGGCAGAACAGCTGACCTTTGACCTCTCCTTTTTTTTTTCTTTTCTTCGATGAACAGTCCAGAACATCGTCGACCTGGCTACTAGGAACTACACCGGCGGAGTCTCGAACCGCCACGTCAATTGGCTCGGCCGTGTCTTCTGGCGCGCTTGGTTCGACGTCGACCGTGTCAACCTCGAGGCTGCTCGCAGGGACTACCTCGAGTACCGCTTTGGAACCGTCATCTCTGCCAGTGAACGCAACTACCTACTCGGCGGTATTCCTTACTATATCTTCATCGGATGCCAGAAGGACCTCACTCTCAACGACAACGACGCCATCGCCCGTCTCGACGCCACCCTGACCGAGTCCCCTTACCTCTCGCCAACCCACCACCGCTCAGAGCTCTCCAAGGCCGTCCAGCGCACCATTCCAGAAGTCCGATCCAAGGCATACGAGTCTGCCATTGTTAACCTGTCATCCAACTTGCCCTTGCCATCTTTCTTCTACCAGCATCACCACTGGCGTATCTGCTACAACGAACTCCTCACCAAGCATACCCAGTTCAACAAGGAGTACATCTACGCCTTCACCTGGGAAGATCCCCGTGTTGACCACCGCCTGCTCAACATCACCTCCGACGACGTTATCCTGGCCATCACCAGTGCCGGAGACAATATCCTAGACTACCTCTGCGGACCCAACACCCCCCGCCGTATCCACGCCGTTGACCTCAACCCCAACCAGAACCACCTTCTCGAGCTCAAGGTCGCTTCCTTCACCGCTCTCTCTCACGACGACTTCTGGAAGATCTTCGGCGAGGGCAAACACGCTGGATTCCGTGACTTGCTCATCTCTCACCTCTCTCCACATCTTTCCTCCCAGGCATTCCAGTTCTGGCTCGACCATGCCTCCGTCTTCACCTCCTCTAGCCACGGCCTCTACGAGACTGGCGGATCCAGACACGCCCTGAAGCTGGTCCGATACCTCTTCTCCATCTTCGGTCTCACCGAAGAAGTCAAGAAGATGTGTGCTGCTAAAACCATAGAGGAACAGCGTGCTCTCTGGCCA